TCGACAGAGACTCCTCGTTGGAGGAATTGTTGACCAGATTTTGGACTCAGGAAGAAATTGTTGAATCACCAGTGTCACTAACTCCAGAGGAACAGGAGTGCGAGACGCACTTTCGTGCCACACATTCTCGTGACAAATCTGGTAGATACATTGTGCGACTCCCATTGAAGTTGCCTCGAACTCTATTGGGCAATTCATACGATAAAGCTCGGGCATGCCTTCGGCGAACTCTTGAAAAACTCAAGAGACAGGTCGAGTATCGTGAACTCTATCTAAAGTTCATGAAGGAATACGAGATTCTCAATCATATGGTGAAGGCACCACCGTCAACAGCATCTCATGATCATGCGGCATTTTATTTACCGCATCATGGAGTCTTGAAACCTGACAGCACAACCACCAAGCTGAGGGTTGTATTCAATGGCTCGAGTACCACTACTTCTGGGTACTCACTTAACGATATCATGCACACTGGGGCAAATTTACTCCTAAATATCACTGATGTACTCTTATGGATACGTCAATACAAGTGCATCTTTGCGACAGACATCACAAAGATGTATCGGCAAATTCGTGTGCATCAGGAGGATTGGGACCTACAACGTATTCTGTGGGTTGATTCAGACCTCAATGAGGCAAGTTATCAACTCACCACGGTTACATATGGTACCAAGGCAGCCCCATTCTTGGCTGTTCGTACTCTGTTACAACTCGCGGAAGACGAAGGACATCGCTTTCCGCTGGCGGTGCCATTCATAACTCAAGCCAGATATGTAGACGACGTATTTGGTGGCGCTGATGGCCCTGACGAACTAATCGAAGGTGCACATCAGTTAAAAGGCTTGTGCATGGCGGGCGGTTTTCCGCCTGCTAAATGGCAATCAAATTGTCTGGAGCTTATGGGTACACTCGCTCCAGAGAATCTATATAACCAGACACTCATTTCCTTAGACGATTGCAATACCAAAATTCTCGGAATGAATTGGAACTCTTTGAAGGATATATTCACTTTTACATCCAAGTCAGAATCAGATCCAACCTCAATAGCTCCTACCAAACGCCCCGTATTATCTCATATTGCCAAAATCTTTGAACCACTCGGCTTTCTCTCTCCTGTCATAATTCGAACAAAGATGCTGTTACATGAATTATGGCTACTTAAAATCAACTGGGATGATCCGTTGCCATCTCACGTTGAGACTCGGTGGAACTCGCTTAGAGAAGACCTCACAAGGCTGGCCAGCCTCTCTATCCCTCGATGGTTCAACACACATCAGGACTCGTTCATTGAACTACATGGCTTCTCTGATGCTTCAACTCTCGCCATGGCGGCAGTAATTTATGTTACTGTATTATCTCCGTCCACAAAACTCCAAGTGACGTCACTGGTGTGCTCCAAAACGAGAGTAGCACCACTTAAGAAAATCACAATCCCGAGAATGGAGCTTGCCGCAGCAGGACTGTTGGCAAAGCTCATGCATTATGTCCAAGCTAGACTCAAACTCAACATAAGGAACATTTACTTGTGGACGGATTCTCAAGTTACTCTCACGTGGATCAAATCACATCCTTCACGGTGGAAGGACTACGTAAGGAATCGGGTTACGATTATTCAAGAACTAACCGCCGGAGCACATTGGAGATATGTGCCGGGTACATCCAACCCAGCAGATTGCGCATCACGAGGCTTAACTACTCATCAGCTTGGACATCACGACCTGTGGTGGACGGGACCACCCTGGTTGACAGAACCCAGTGACTCGTGGCCGACACAACCAGTACTCAAAGATGATACAAACACTCCAGAAGCTCGTCCAGGAGTAGCGTATCTCTTCAAAGCCCAAACTCTAGATTACCACTGGGATCTGATTCATCGTTATTCAACGTTGAAAAGACTCATTACTATTACGGGAATCTGTTACAGGTTCATCTCGAGGTTGAAAGGATCTAAGGGACAATCATTGGGCGCACAAATTTACTCGGTAACTGACTTGGAACTCGCGCGGGTATTTTGGATCAAAGCAACGCAATCCATATACTTCGCGCAAGAACTGAAGGTAATTGGTACAAACTCGAAGCTACCTTCATCACACGTCTTCAGCCGGTTGACGGCATATCTCGATGAACAAGGGGTGATTCGAGTTGGAGGACGATTGGAAAACTCGCAACTAACCTACGATGGCAAGCACCCTGCCATCTTACCTCGCCACTCTCGGTTGTCTGATCTTGTTATTGCTCACTCGCATCTAGAAACCCTTCATGGAGGAACTCAGTTAACGCTGTCTCATATCAGGCAATCGTATTGGATCATTGGAGGACGAGCTCCCGTCAAATCTCACATATTACGGTGTGTGGTATGTGCTCGACAAAGGGGGATCCGTGCCCAGCAATTGATGGGCCAACTACCTCTTTCGAGAGTTACGCCATCACGTCCGTTTATGTGGGTCGGTGTTGACTACGCGGGACCAATCATACTTACTACGTGGAAAGGGCGAGGTGCAAAAACACAGAAGGGCTGGATATGTGTTTTTGTTTGTCTCTCAACGTCAGCAGTCCATCTCGAACTCGTTACGGATTACTCAACAGAAGGTTTTATTGCAACATACAGACGGTTTACCTCACGGAGAGGAATCCCACAAAGGCTTTACTCAGACTGTGGGACGAACTTCGTTGGAGCTGACAAGAATCTCAAGGCAATGTTTACGCAAGGGTCGCAGGAACATCAGCATCTCTCACATTTGTTTCTCAAGGACAGAACCAACTGGACATTCATCCCACCAGCATCTCCACACATGGGTGGAAAGTGGAAAGCGGTCGTCAAGTCTACCAAGTATCATCTTCGACGGACGATAGGTGACATCAAACTCACCTATGAGGAATTCAGTACGCTTCTAAACATCGAGAGCACATACTCTAATACATACGCACACTAAGCACATACGCTAAACTTAGATCGAAGCAATTCTGAACTCACGACCGCTACAACCAATCAGCGATGATCCTGAAGACATCTCAGTATTAACTCCAGCACATTTTCTCGTGGGTGGCTCACTCACAACATTTTTTTTTTTTTGACAGGGGGAAATCCTCATGGACACCCACTCAACCAGATCAGGGAGCTGACATGGCAGCTCCAAGTGCTGACCGCGTGGGTAGTGCCGGACTCTTACCGGCTAAAACCCTCCGATGACTCTTTGAAAGTGCAACGGGGAGGATTCGGGACCCCTTTCGGATTGCTTCGTATTCTCCCCGCGCTTTTTTCCTAAGAAAACTCCTTTCACCTTCTCAAACCCTGGTTGAGGGGAGATGCATTCCTTACTTAAGATCCTCAAACCGTTGGGAAGGTATTCAATATCAATTCTCCTTCGAACAGAGTCATTTGCTCGAAGTTTCCATTCTTCGACTAACCATGTGCAGGTGTTCATTCCTTTTTTGCTTGCGTACATTTTAGTACGTTGCGTCATTATTTCGTCACATAGTTATTCGCGATGCTGAATTATTATGAAGCTCAAGATTAAGTACATGATTGTCATTACAGAGAACATTCATGTTTAATCCTATCTTCGTTCTAATAAATACGCGATATCATTCATACATTCCGGTTAAATACGTGCTCATTCATACTTCAAAGCGTTGTTACAATTTTTTGATCGGTGAAAATTTCCGACGTAGCATGTACATCATCATTGTCGCGTGTGATTGTACAGTGCATATGTGGATGCGCCTTGTTGTTACGCTCTATGTTTATGCGCGTGATTCTTGGAGATGGCTGTTTGCGTCCAAGATGGTGGAGGACGGCATGTGCATGTCTTCGCGTCCATTCTTTCTGTTGGAAATTGTTTCTACTAGTGGATGTTTTGCTGTGATTCATCTGGTGGTCCTTGTGCACGGTAGTGTAGGGTTATGTTATAGTTCAGTTCCATCTTATGAAAATGCTGGCAGTAATTCTCTGCGCGGTTACTCTCCGTGCTTCCCTGACTCTCCCATGTTCTTCTTTTTTCGACAGGACTGCTTCACAGACCGCTTTGTGAGCTTCCCATTTCTCTGGTGTGTGAAGGATTGCTTCTATCATTCCTTCTAAGCTGGACAACTGGCCCGTTATTTCGTATAGCCTCTTCCTTTCTTCCGACCACGCCGGGTAGATGAAGGCTGTATGTATGTTATCATCTTTCATAGCGTTGCAGTGGTGGCATTTAGGCAGAGGTTCTTTTCCTATTCTACACAGGAAATCTCCGAAGCAGCCGTGTCCAGAGATTAATTGCTTCATTCTATAGGAAAGGCTTCCGTGAGGATTGGTTACCCATCTATAGAAGCATGGCAGGATTGCTTTAATTACTTTTTGATTTCGATTGTGCTATAAACGTAGTTTGACGTGCCAGGTAAGTAAGGTTTCCAGATTCCTTTCTTTTTTTAATCTTGTTCTTTCTTTTCCATGTCCACGTCTTCCAATGAGTTCAAAGCGCGAGTGAGACCATAATATTTACTATGCTATATAATATGCACTTAAGCCGAAGGAACCTCGTGGGGGACTATAAATATATCCTCAAATGTACCACAGTGTTCCACTTTCCAGGTTGATTTTCGTGTTGTTTCGTTGAAATACATCTTCTTCACATGTTTTGAAGCAGAATTAATGTGTTGTTCATACATATGTAATATACAAGTAGACATATATGTGCATAAGCCGAAGGTACCTCGAAAGGGACTATAAAAATATCCTCAACTATACCCCAGAATTCCACTTTCCAGGTTGATTTTCGTGTTGTTTCCGTTGAAATACATCTTCACGTGGTTTGAAGCAGAAACCATGTGTTGTTCATACATATGTAGGATACAAGTCAACTTATATGCGCCTAAGCCGGAAGAACCACGAAAGGGACTATAAATATATCCTCAAATATACACCAGAATTCCACTTTATATGTTGATTTTCGAGTTGCTTAAGTTGAAATACATCTTCTTCACGTGTTTCGAAGCAGAACTCACGTGTTGTTCATACATATGTATTACACAAGTCGACCTACATGCGCTTAAGCCGATGGTAGATAGAAATGTACTATAAATATACCCTCAAATATACCCCAGAATTCCACTTTCCAGGCAGATTTTCAAGTTATTTCCGTTGAAGTACATCTTCTTGACGCGTTTTTAAGCAGAATTCATGTATTGTTCATACACATATAGTATACAAGTCGACTTACATGCGC